TAATCTTATTGTAGCGAGTGCCTATATGAGACCACCACCGCAAGTAACGCAATCCTTCAGGCGGTTAGTAAACTGCCTTCCAGCCTCGTCGCTGCTCCTGCTGTGCGGGGATTTCAACATGCATCACCCACAGTGGGAGCCATTCTTGGAGACTTCTCCAAGCGAGGTTTCTGCAGAATTTTTAGAACTGTGCACGGATGCGGGGCTCACCTTGGTTAACACCCCTGGTGGGATCACGTATGCCCGTGGCACAGGAGAACGATCCTGTATCGATCTGACATGGTCAAAGCATTTGACTGTGTCGGATTGGTCAGCTTCTGTGTCGCCGCTTAGTGATCATTATATGCTGACATTTACGCTGCATCAGGCATTTAAGGATACCATACCTTCGGCACCTAGGATATTCTACAGTTGGGGGAAGTGCAAGTGGGATTTATTCGTCAAGGACCTCGACGCACAACTTCCTGCATACGACTATAAAAAGCAGTCCACCGGCATTAAAGCTTTCACGAGAGCGCTTATAACTTCGTATCGACGGCATTGCCCCCGCGGCATGCACAAGGACGGTCCCAGGCTTCGGGACGACACTCTCATGGAGGCCGAGCGGATTGCTGCCGACAGCAAGGCCCGCTATCTGCAGTTACCGACGCCCGACCGTGAGGCCGAAATGCAACGGACAAGGAGTCAATTCTTCCTCCTACTCCGAGAGCGCTTGCGCAGCACGTATCCACGCCGCATCAGCAAGTTAAATCCAGGCGAGCCACTCGCATGGAAATACGTTTCCGGACGAAAAAAGGCATCACTTCCATCTCCCACATCAATGTTATTAGGAGATGGTCAACACACTTACAAAACAGCAAGGAGAGCAGCGAATGCTCTCAATCGCATCTTTCTTCCATTTCACCCCTCTCACAAGGCAGTAAGGCCTTCCAAAGGCAACAACAGACAGAACACATCTTTGAACATTAATGCTTCTTCTATTTTTGGACCGCAGAACAACAACGAGTCGATCTCTACATTTACATCAGGGGTTTTTCTTACTCCCCTCTTGATGCACCTTTTAATCGTACGGAACTGCTTGCTGCGCTACGTAATACACCGTATGGCAAGGCCCCCGGACCGGATGAAGTATACAGTGAGGCACTGCGACATATTTCGTCAAAGGGCCTTCGATTCCTTCTTTGTTGCATTAACCACAGCTGGAAGACCGGTACGATCCCGGCTGAGTGGAGACGCGCTACCATCGTCCCACGCTTAAAACCCGGTAAGTCGCCGGAACTGCTTGAGTCCTATCGACCCATCAGCCTTACTTCCATTGTGAGTAAGGTTGCTGAGAAAATGGTACTGAAGAGATTGCTTTGGGTGTGGACGCCGCACCCACCAGTATGCATATCGTAGTATGCGTACCACGACGATGCAGCTGGCACACCTGATACACGAAGTGGAGCATAATAGAAATCATTATTTCCAAGTGAACCTTCCCAAGAAGAGCGGTGTTGGCAATCAACTCCACTACAGACCCCATCGGACCCTGCTGGTGTTGGTTGATTTCAGCAAGGCCTTTGACTCCATAGATCATCGAGTCCTCAGTCGCTTGCCGGCTAATATTCCGGGGGTGGATTGTAGAAGGTGGCTTAGAAACTTTCTATGTGGTCGCTACGCGAAGACACGAGTTGGCCACAGACACAGCGATCGGCGTCCCATGCTGCGAGGAGTTCCTCAGGGGTCCGTGCTGGGACCGTATTTGTTCTCCCTTTACGTGCACCCACTTCTCAGTCTGCTGAACAGCTTTGCGGGTGTCACAGCAGACATGTATGCGGACGACCTCTCTATTATCGTTAGGGGGCAGTCCCGGGAAGACGCCATTCCCACTGCCAACATGGTTCTTCAAAAGCTGCATGCGTGGAGTCAGGAAAATGGCCTGGCCACCAACCCGTCAAAGTGTGAAGCTGCTTGGTTCACACTTTCCACGCACACGGAGCCAGATTATGATCGTGAAGGAAAGTGGCCCCTGGTAGTGGCTGGATGTCAAATCCCAGTCATGACCATGGGGCATCGCGAACTACGAAGCTTCTCGGCATGTATCTCGATCCACGACTGACGCTAAATGTGGCGGCCACCAAGCAATGCGCTGCCACTTCGCAACGGATATCGCAGCTACGCTGCATAGCGCACAAAGAGGCGGGACCATCTCCACATGACCTACGCACGTTCGTCATTGGATACGGTGCTCCAAATTACGCTATGGCAGCGAGCTCATATGGGCAGTAGCGACGGATTCAGCGAAGAATGAGATGCAGAAGACGTACGCAACTCCGGCACGCATTGTCAGCGGAGTTCCGAGCACTGTCGACCCGGAGTCCGCGCTACTGGAGGCTAATATGCCGCCGCTCCACGTCCTTTGCCTGCGCGCACGGCTCTCAATATTTGAGAACACACGCGCATGTCAGATGGACTGGATGCGGAGACCCCCGCCTGAGCCACCGCCTCGCGCCGGTTTCCGCATCTCGCCATTATCTCGGGACGAGCTATATGCCTTCGTAGACGCATACACAAAGGATTATGGCATCACCCAGACCTCACCACGCGAAGAGCGGTTCTTTCGCAGCTCCATTCCTCCCTGGTTTGCGGCCTCCGCTCACCGGGCCACCATCGGTGTGGAACTTCCGATAGACCTCTCAATAACTGACGAAGAAGAGCTGATAAGGGAAAAGCGCAGAGTCAGCGAAGAGGCTCTAGCGCTGCACAGCCATCGTTCGTGGATACTTGCGACCGATGGCGGTGTCGACGTTCCCAAGTCAGCAGGGGTTGGAAAGCTGCTTTCATCCCTCAATTCATCGGAGATAATAGAAAAGGCCAGCATAAACTGCGGTGCACGCCCATGCAGCTACAGGACGGAATCCCGTGCGCTGCTTCTAGCCCTAGAGAAGCTGATGATTCCTCGTATCCAACACAGGCATAAAACCCTGCTTGTGGTTACGGACAGTCAGTCTCTTCTAGCGGCTCTAAACAAGGGCCCGCTCAGTCAGACAGACTGGACGGAGGATCAGATCTGGCAGCGTCTCTTGACACTGACGTGTGCTGGCTGGTCCGTGCGCCTGCAGTTTTGTTACGGACATTGTGGAGTACATGCTAACGAGCTTGCAGATCAGCATGCGACGCAGACTATGGCAACTGGACAATACACGGAGCACGGAATCGCACCTTATGGCATACGGATCTGCTGACATGTTTTACTACCCAGCTCACCAACAAGTGGCGTAGCACCATTCGTCAAGACACTCATCGCTACTTGCTTTGCGGCACAAGGCCATCAGATCTCAGCGGTAAGGACCTGATCACTCAGGAAGTTCTACACCGTCAGGAACTGGTTCACCTCGCAAGGGCAAGGTGCGGGGAATCTGAGCTCTGGGGCCGACTATACTGGGCCGTGAGAGATTGCACGAACCAATGCCGTTTCTGCAACATCTCACCGGAACAGTCTGCATATATGCGCTCTAACAGCGATCCAACTGCACCGGGGACGGACACTGTTCCCCCGTCGGCGAGGGATGAAGACGTCTCTCCAGTAATGAGACGGACCGTCACACGCCGTCGGAAGGAGAAATGTCCGCACTGTGATTCTACATTGACGGGATTCTCGAATCTCGTCAGTCACTGTCGGTCATTTCATCCGGAACATCCTCCACCGCTTCCCGAGCTCAAATGTGATTTCTGTGACATGGTTTTCCCCACACGGAGAAGCACCGCACAGCACAGAAGTCGCTGCGCACACAACCCAGACGCCACACGACATCGAAACAGCAGTGCCAGGAGGCGATCTCTGCTGCCGCAGGATCAGCCAGCTTCCACAAGCACGCCAATTGGCCCGCAGGAAACCTTGCACCATCTGCTTCTAGAATGTCCAGGCACCTTGGCTGTGCGTCAACGGCTGGGCATTGAACAGGACCTTCGCCTCGGAAAGTTCTCTCAATGGCAGCTGCTTCATAGCAGGAATCTCATTTTGCTGCTCGACCACCTCTTCGGCACTCAGATGGCCTTGTATAGCTAGACGCGCTGGTAAGAGTAGAAAAAAAAATGTAATAACCTCATGACGTCCATTACCACCGATGTGTACGGGCGATGGGACTATATCCATGGTCCTTGAGCACACGCCCCCGCCGCTAAGGAGCCCACAAACAGCGGTGCGTGCAGCAGCGCCACACAGACCACATCTTCTTTAAACAAAAAGATCAAAGAGAGTAAAGACGTCTAGTTCGAAGGTGACCTGTCCTTCCCGACGGTGAGCAGCGGAAACGTATCACCTCGTGTGTGGAAACACCACTGCTGCTTCTGCTTTTGGGACTGTGTGTGGTTGTGGCAGTGTTCTGAGCCACGGAGTGTGGAGTTGCGACTTCTCACGGAGAATATTTACCGCGTTCCCTGTGGGCTTTCTTTTTTTGATGTTCTTTTTAATGCTGTTTACATGGAACAATGGGAGTACCTTTTTCTTTTGTTTTACTTAATGGTCAGTTGCTGCGCACCGTCATGAGCGAATTTTTTTCCCTCTTGATTGCTTCTGTTGCCCACACGCGGTACAGGCCCCACGGCTGTGCGCTCCACGGAGGACACAAAAGGAGGAGTGGAGAGACAGGCCGGATGCCGCATGAACTGTGTGGGATGTTGTGTGGGCTTGTGGAACAGTAATATTTTTTTCCTTGTGCAGGTACTGTACGCATGTACATATAAACACAGTCCTGCTTTGCCGCATGGCGTATGAAATGATGGTTCTGCTGAAGTGTATTTTTTTTGATGAGGAGACTCCCGTTGGGCACTCAACTACTCTTTTTGTTTTGGTATTGCTTTTTTACTTCTGGTGTGCGGGTCGGTGTGCGTTCCTCTGCAGGGCTGCTGCCGTTGTTTACTGTGCGTGTTACTGTGTGACTTGTCTCTCTTTACTTCTGCTTTGCGTTGACGTGTTGTTAGTTTGTGCTGAAGGCTACACGCAAGTGACAGGAGTGATGATGATGATGATGACTGGCCGTGTGCTGCTGGTGTGTGCCCTCTGCGTGCTGTGGTGCGGTGCCGGCGGGGTTTATGCGAGGAACCCCGACAACAATTCACTGGGCGGCTACATGGCGTCGAGAGGGTTTGGAAGGAATAAGTCGTTTTTGTCAAACGGATCTATTAAAAACTTATCTACACCGCTTTTGCTGTCAGCATCGTTTATCTCTGCTATAAAAGCCGAAGCTCGTGAAGGAAAAGTTCCTTCTGCAAGAGTTACTGATTCACATTTAAGTGGAGCCGCGGGTCTTAGTCCTGCTTTTTCCGGTCCTGATGCTGCTATTGCCCGTCCCACTGTTCCCGGTCATGTTCCTGGTGCTGCTATTCCTGGTGCTGATTTTTCCGCTCGTGTTCCTGCTTTTTCCGGTCTTGGTTCTGCTGGTCCTGTTCATGGCCCTGTTTCTGCTGCTGATGCTATTCCAGGTGCTGCTGTTCACGGTCACGGTGCTGGTCCCGGTCATGGTGCTGCTGCTTTTTCCGGTCTTGGTGCTGCTGGTCCTGGTGCTATTCCTGGTCCTGCTCCTGTTCGTGGTCCTACTTTTTCTGGTCCTGATGCTAATATTTTTGGTGCTCCCGTTCCCGGTCATGGCCCTGCTGCTATTCCTGGTGCTCCTGTTTCCGGTCATGGTCCTGGTGCTATTCCTGGTGCTCCCGTTCCCGGTCATGGCCCTGGTGCTATTCCTGGTGCTCCTGTTTCCGGTCATGGTCCTGGTGCTATTCCTGGTGCTCCCGTTCCCGGTCATGGCCCTGGTGCTATTCCTGGTGCTCCTGTTTCCGGTCATGGTCCTGGTGCTATTCGTGGTTCTCTTCGTGGTTCTGCTGTTCCCGGTGATGATGATGCTTTTTCCGGTCTTGGTGATGCTATTATTGCTGAAGCTGTTCCCGGTGCTGCTGCTGCTTTTTCCGGTCATGCCGCTGCTGTTCCCGGTCATGCTGCTGGTCCTGCGGGTGCTGGTGATGGTCCTGCTTTTTCCGGTCTTGTTCCTGCTGTTCCCGGTGCTGGGCATTCGGTTGGTGGTGGAAGTGAACCTCCGGACTCTCGCTCTGTCGTTATTTCCTCAAGTCAAGGTGGCAATGCAAAAACAGCCCCGGTCAGTGTTTCATCCGATGAGCAGATTGCATCCCCAGAAGAAGTTTTGCCACAAAAAGAAACAGGGAGTCAGGGCACCTCTTCGCCCGAAGGACAGCCGACCGTGTCATCCAACACTGAAAAGCAAAGAAACAATTCTGCCTCAGCAGGGAGTCACAGTCTTGGCCACGACGCCGCGGGAGATGAACTCCAAGACTCTTTGGAAGAACAACAGAAAAATGACCATTCACAAACGAACGAGACAAAAAAATCATCAGGGGACCAAAATACAGAATCCCAACGCAGTGGAGGAGCACTCTCGGAAGTATCCAACACAACAACGCATGGGATAAAAACTCAACAGCCAAAGAAAAATTCAGTAAATGAGAAGAACTACAGTCAAAACACGGATGCATCCCACTCCACCTCCCCTCTTTTGCTTCTTGTTGTTGCGTGTGCTGCTGCGGCTGCGGTGGTGGCCGCGTGAGAGTGAGGGAGAGAGAGCCGTGCACCGCCCGCACACACACTCGTCCTTCTCTCTCTGTGTGTGTCCCCTTGCATGGACTCTCGCCCTCACCTCACCCCACGAGGCACACACAATAATGTGCCCATTGTATATATGCATGCACACCCATGCAGGCCGTTGGTGCTCTCTTTTGCACGACACGCACCGCTGCCGTCCTGCCTGGCTGCATGGGCGGAGCACCGTAACTGTTTCTGTTTTTTTCTCCTCTTATGATTGTTTTAATTGTTTTTAATTTTTCTTTGCTGTTTGCTTTAAAATATTTTAAATGTTTTTTTGTTTTTTCTGGTTTTGCGAGTGTTTCTGACAGCCATTTTTTTTTTCGCTTTTGTTTTTAGTGTGTCTTTTATTTAAA